AGCTAGTTGGAAACTTCAAAAATTAATTTTGGGAGCACACGAACTCCGATTTCAACAAACTTACAGTCAAACTGAGCGTCTCGGAAATACGAACCCAACGACACCAAGATCAACCCAATCTGAGCCCAAATGAGTCCGAATCAAGGGTCAAAAGCTCTGTTGGAAGGTTCAAACCGCAATTTGAGTTACCAAACGGTCTCCGATTTGGACGAGATTATACTCGAATCGAACGGCTCGATGAGACGAATCCAACGAGCCCAAGATTTCTGAATTCCAACATCATTAAGGCCTCCAAATGTCCAACGAACGGTGCACGATCGAAGGGTTCACTATTGGCCGTCCATTCGAACCACTCCCTATTCGCCCTTGATCTCACTCTTATTTACGGGCCATGCCACTCCGGAAAATCTATAAATAGAGCCCTCATTCTTCACAAGAGAGGATCCAAGCAAGAGAGAGAAGAAGAGAAGAGAAGGAAGAAGCTCCTCCTCGACGGCTACCGGACCACCGCAGGAACCTCGTCGGACCACCACCGAAGTCTCGTCGGAGTTTCATTGCACCACTGCCTTAAGGTCCGACGTTCAGTCCCTACGTCCTGATGAAGACCCGACGTCCTGCTTAAGGCCTGACGTTTAGTCCCTACGTCCTGCTGAAGACTCGACGTCCCGCTTAAGGCGCGACGTTTAGTCCCTACGTCCTGCTGAAGACTCGACTTCCCGCTTAAGGCCCGACATTCAGTCCCTATGTCCTGCTGAAGACTCGACGTCCCGCTTAAGGCCCGACGTTCAGTCCCTACGTCCTGCTGAAGACTCGATGTCCCTCTTAAGGCCCGATGTTCAGTCCGTACGTCCCGCTGAAGACCCGACATCCTGCTTAAGGCCCGACGTCCTACCCAAGGCCAGACCATCAACACCTGATCTTCCAAGTGACACTGGGAACACCTGACTCCTTGTCCCCTATCGCCTACGGTTCTTCTGACATCTGTCGCCTACTACGGTCCGTCCGACCAACATCACTAGACAACGGTCTTTCAGACCCCAGTTTTCTATCGACTACGGTCCTTCAGGCCTTCGTCGCCTACTATGGTCCTTTCGACCTCCATCAACAAACAACAGTCTTTCTGACCCCGGTTTCCTGCCGACTACGGTCTCCTGCTGACTACGGTCCTTCAGGCCAAGCAAACATATATATGTAACTCCTACATTGTAATGCAATCTATATGATGTACATTTGCTACATCAATCCAAGGCCTTCTCCCAAGGAAGGGCCTCATTTGTAATCGACTGCAAATACTAGTGCATTCATTCAAACTGGGCCAGGCCCCGTGGTTTTTCCCCCTTTTCAGGGGTTTTCCACGTAAAAAACTCTGGTGTCTCTTATGAATGTTACGCCCTCTCACTTATCTGATTGTGTGCTGGATCTTCGTACAATGCTAAGACATTAAACTATATTTCTCTACCGCCGCGAATACTCCAGGACGCAACATACTTGATACCCAAATAAAAATGATTAATCATATTGCTAGTTATTTTTAAAAATTATTCTAGATTCTATTTTTATTTAGCAAATTTATGTTTTTTACCGTTTTTATTAAGCTTAATTTTCAACTTTTTGATAAAAAAAATTGTGATATCAAACATTAAATTTGATCAAGAAATGAATGTTTACTTTTTCATCACTTGGGTAGTCCAATCTCCACTTTATCAAGATTTTTCTCCGCACTTATGTAAACAACTGTAGCATTGGATTGAATCGAATGAAAAACTAATTCACGATTGAATCCCGTGAATTAGTTGGACCAGTTGATTTAGGATCTGTTTGAGATAACTATCACTTTTAATAAAGTTGATTGAAAAGTTGCTATGGGGAAAACAATTTAATCACTCTGATTGTAAAAAGTAGTTTTACATCTCAGAAATTTCTAAAAAGAGTGAGAAAGATCATGAACAATAGCCAAATAAAATTATGATTACTATATGAAAATAAACAACGAAAAAGCTGTCCTAAATAGATTTTCATCCAATTTTTAAAGCCTTGACTATGGTTTTGTTTGGGACGGCTTTCTTTATGCTTTTTAAAGTAGCTTTCTAGTACAAATTTTTCTTTAATTTTTTAACTAGAAAGCAGCTTTAAGACACAATAAAAAAGTCGTCCCAAACGAAGCCTATATCTCATCATATAAAAACATTTAGTGAATATGTCATGTTGGCTCATTTTATATTCTCATCTTTTTAGACATTATATGAGCTTTAAAAATAGTGCTAGTGATAGAAAAATGTTGATATTGTAATCATGTTTTTTCTTATCTCCTTTTCACAAAACTATCTGTGTTATATTAATTAACAAGCAAATAATAGGGGGAGGTTCTTATATATATATATATATTAATTTCCTCAGGATGAGGATCCAATATATCAATAAGTCAGATCATATAACGTTCAAATCAGGCTACCCACATGAAGACAATGACAAGTCCCTCATATTCAAATTCATAGATGGTCAAATTGCTTCAACAAAAATAAGGGCCAACATGTTGTATTAAATAAAAGAAAATGCAATGATAAAGAGAGGAGTTTTAGAAATCTCCAACTATTTTTTTTCTCCCAAAATTTCAAACAATGCCATTTTACATGTCTCATTAAATATGCAATCTTAAAGGCAGCATTTATAAATGAATACACTCTAGTACTACTGCATTTTATATTCAAATCTAATGAAAAATGAAATAAAATTTATCTAATCATCATCACAAATCATTCCTTTTTCTTATTATAAGGTATAAGCCTTTAGTTTTTCCTATATTTTTTCGTTATTTTTATCACCATTTTATTTTCACCTAAGTTTTATTTGAGATAGCTTTTTAATTATTTTATAAAGCAAATTTTTAATAAAAAAATTTTGACTAAAAAATTGTGCTAAGAAACTGATTTAGAAAATAGAATGTAAATTATTTCAAATGAAGATTTAGGCTTCATTTGAAACGACTTTCTTACAGCTTCTTAAATCAACTTTTTAGTCAAAAAATAAAAAAAAATTAATTAAAAAATTGCTTTAAGAAGCATTAAGATAGCCATCCCAGACGAAATCTTAGACTTCATTTGGGTCGATTTTTTACTACTTTTTAAAGTAGCTTTCATGTAAAAAAAAATTGTATTAAAAAACTGCTATATGAAGTATTAAGAAAATCATCCCAAACGAAGTCTTAGGCCTCGTTTGATTAGGCTTTTTTTCTCCGTTTCCATTTGAATACGCCAAAATCAATTAGTATTTACTGTTTGGAATCAAAGCTTAACAATAATTCCTTTTTAATAAACATCGTTTTTTCGGCGGTTACAAAATTCTTTTCGTATCTGCATTTTCGGTCACAAAACGGAGTTTCGGAATCGAATTATGTCTTTTTTTAATAAAATCTAAAAAGCTGAACTCCTAAACAAATAATTTAAAATTACTTTCAAGTATTAATAAGCACTTTTAAAAATATTAGTCAAACATATCTCATTATTGAAACTCCATTTTATTGAACGGCTTTTTCTCAACCTCATTTTCTAAAACTCCTTTTTATGTAAGCATAAACCGAATCAAATGAAGCCTTAGACTTCATTTGGGTCGGCTTTCTTACTGCTTCTTAAAACAGCTTTCTAGTAAATGTTTTATACTAAAAAGTTATTTTAAGAAGCATAAAGAGACTTCATTTGTGATAGCTTTCTTGCTGCTTCTTAAATTAGTTTTTTAACATAAAATTTAATATACTAAAAAATTATTTTAAGAACAATAAAAAAAGTCATCCAAATGAAGTCATAATCATCATTCAATACAATACAAATAATAATATTACAACATATGTAATTATATATATATATAAATATATAAAACACAAATAATAAAATACATTTATATTAATTTGTTATGCGCATTAATATCTAAAGTATCCCCATATAAGATTTATATGATTAAATATTACCAATCATTTAATTTATTATAATTGTGCAAAGCATGATTCTTCAATAACCAATAATAAACCGGGCACGAATTTTAAAAAGCTAACGAAAAATAAGCCCAAAAATAGGTGTGAAGGCAAAGATGATGAAAGCAACAGAGAGGAGAGCATATCAGATGCCACATCAAACATCTCCAGTACAAAACCAGCTAGTAAATCACAAGGCAAAGGGGGATGCATCTGCTCCTCGATCCCTCTACTCCCATCAATCGTGGACCCCACACTTCATGTAGATCCAGTCCCCTCTCCCCCTCATTTCTTCAAATTGTCAATTGCCACTTGCCAACTTTCAACTGGACCCCTACTCCCTCCCATGCCCATCCATAACATACGCGCTGCCTCCTCCATTGCTCTTTCCCTTGAATCTTCCTCACCCTCTCCAACTTGACCCGAAATCATTTTTATTAATTACCGATTATTATAATTATTATATGAATAAGTAGAAACATTAAAATAAAATAATGATTGTTAGAGAAAATTTTTTCTTTTTTGGGAGTGGGCAGCTTTTTTTATATTCAGATTTATAATTTAGTTTTGTATTATTTGAAATTAGTATTACATTGATATTAGTTTTGAATTTTTTTATTTTCTTAAATGAAAATCTCCAAGAAAGACTGCCTACTACCACTAGGCACCTATAATCGTTATTTTCTACTACTTTATAACTGTTTCATAAAATAGTAAATTAAAAAAAATTAAAATATTAATATTCTTTTTTACTTTATATATAAATATAAATAAATATAAAATTTTGCATAAACAGAAAGTCATCTTTACTTACATGTCACTATAAATTATTATGAGTAATACCAAATAAAATAACAATCAAAATGAACAAAATTATTTATGCTAAAGTCACAAAAAATAATTATTATCTTCATTTACCCCTCTCTCTCTCTCTCTCTCTCAAATATATATATATATATATTGCATATACAAAAATATGACACCAAATATTTACTGAAGTTGATCCAGCCCTTCTCTATATAAACCTCGAGTACTCTCCCCCTCTTGAAATACAGCAACAGCACCATTCATTCTTATATACCTTCACGGCTTCACTCATCTCACTATCACAACGCCTACACCTAATGGAAACCACCTCCTGCATCGACTCGTCCTCCACCACCATCGACCTCCCCTCCCCTCCCCTTCAACGCATGAGCAGCGGCGTCAGCGCTGTCACCAGCCCCGGCGCTACCACGATCTCTTCCGAACACTCCACCGAAGCAGAGTCCAAAAAACTCCCCTCTTCCCAATACAAAGGCGTCGTCCCCCAACCCAACGGCCGCTGGGGGGCTCAGATCTACGAAAAGCACCGCCGCGTCTGGCTCGGCACCTTCAATCTCGAACAAGACGCTGCCCGGGCCTACGACCTCGCCGCTCAACGCTTCCGCGGCCGCGACGCCATCACCAACTTCCCCCCTCTCTCCCTCTCCTCCGATCCTCACCAACTCTCCTTCCTCCTCTCCCGCTCCAAAGCAGAAGTCGTCGACATGCTCCGCAAACACACTTACCTCGACGAGCTTCGCCACTCCCCTCCCCTCTCCTCCCCCAACCATCCACCCATCCTTTCCACCAAGCCCGCGCGCGAGCACCTTTTCGACAAGGCCGTCACGCCCAGCGACGTCGGCAAACTCAACCGCCTCGTCATCCCCAAACAGCACGCGGAGAAGCATTTTCCGCTTTCCGATGGAGCGAAGGGCGTTTTGCTGAACTTTGAGGAAGGGGGCGCAGGTGGGAAAGTGTGGAGGTTTCGTTATTCGTACTGGAATAGTAGCCAGAGCTACGTACTTACCAAGGGGTGGAGTCGCTTCGTTAAAGAGAAGGGATTGGTCGCCGGAGACTTGGTTGGCTTCTACCGTTCTAAGGGCGAGGAGCGGCAGCTTTACATTGAGTGCAAGCCGCGAAGCGGCGAAGGCGGGGGAGTGCAGATGTTAAGGCTTTTTGGGGTGAATATAGTGAAGGCGTCGGCGGCGGCAGTTGTCGGAAGCTTGAATCTGAATAGGAAGAGGAGTTTGGAAGGTATTGAAGTGGGCTTGTTCAAGAAGCAATGCGTTGGGGGTTTGTAGGGGGAGAATTCTTTTTGTTTTTTCTTTGATGTATATCGATCGATGTTGCAGGTTGCAACTTAGCTTGCAAGTGTATATTGTTAATTAGTTTCAGTTCTCTCCTCTCTAACTTATTTTTTATGTTTTTTCTTAAGCAGAAAGATGATTTGTGATCAAGTGTTAGCATAATATGCCTATATATGGTTCAATCCGAGGTGCTTAATTTATAGCTTTGAGGGCATGAATTTTATATAAAGCAACGTTATTGACGCGGTTTTTTATTTTGTAGTTTAGCTAATGGTAAGCTATATAGCTTTCTTATTAATTTGATTAGCTTTATCTTTTATCTCTTAGTTCTTTCAGTAATTTTTTTGTCCAAGTGCTCCAGTACATTTGAAATTTTCTTCATTAATCAGATAAAATTAATAGCTTTTATCTCCCGCGTTATCCTTTGATAGGCCAATAAATTATCTTTTTATATTTATAAGTAAGCGGAAAATGATGTTATTGGACAATTTAAGAGTTTTATTCAAAGAAGAAAAAGACGTTTTATCCGAAATATGTATATAGTAATTGGCAATTGAGAGCTGCTAGCTAGGTTGTGACTTGTGAGGCTAGCTTTACTGGGAACAAACATAAGATTGTGATTGTGCTAAGCTAAATAATATACATGCCCAACTTGCTTATCACACTATATAATAAGTTAGTATGGTTTGGAATAACTTTCTTATTGTTTTTTACAGCAATCTTTCACTATATAAATACCGTGAAAGCAACGAAAAAATAATGATCAAAAGCTGTCACAATATTTTTTTTTTTGGACATTTAGGCCATTTAAGGCAAAATACGCATACACATAGACTCCCTCTTAGTTGGAAGCCTAAGCTCCCAACCAATAGGCCAAGGAGAGTTTGTCTGTCACAATTTTCAAATGAAGCATTAGATTTTGTTTGGGGTGACTTTTTTATTGCTTCTTAAAGCATCTTTCTAGTACATAAATAAAATTTTTTGAACTAAAAACAACTTTAAGAAGTAGTAAATAAGCCGTTTCAAACAAAACCAAGTTAGGTTTTGTTTGGAATAACTTTCTTATTATTTTTTAGGGAAGCTTTTCACTATCAAAATGTCTTGAAAATAATGAAAACAATGAATAAAATTAAGCTATCCCAACTCCCAAACAAAGCGATAATCTATGCTAAATCTAGGTTAAAGGAAAGATTAAAGGTAAGCTCTAGTTGTCCATCAATTCTACGAATAGTATTTGTGGTTTCTTAATTAATAAATTAATATGATATACTAATATTCATACACTAATTAATGACTTGTTTACTGCGAGCTAGTACCTATCAAGAAACTATAATCAGTCATTGAGCTAGGATTTTGTTTTCTCAAATTACGTTATTGTTTATTGCATGATCTAAATGTTTTTTTATCAGTTAATTAGTTACAGTCTTGAAGAACTTAGCCGTAATCATCTGTTGATTAATGGCTTGGTTAAAAACAATCTAATATTAGTCTTATGTTAATGATATTCCAAATTTTGATGATAATTTCTTCTATGCATGTAACTAAATAAATAGTAAACTATTTACTATTTTTTAAAATATTTTTTTTGAACTGTAAATTTTTTAATTAAAAAAGTTGTTTTAAAAAGCAACAAAAAAGCTGTCCCAAACAAAATCTAAATAGCAATTACCAACAAATTAAAATCACTAAATAGATGAATGGATTTTAATGATCAGAGCTAATTTCTACTATTTTCATGATGAATAATCTTCCGAACAGAGAGAAAAAATCAAAATTCTGCCAAAGTTTGGTGCAGCTGTTTGTTATCAGAGAGCGTTTACCTAACTCTTCAATTATAAACTCACAACGTGGTACTATAACAGACCGAGTCATAGAACAACAAAATATAAGAAGAAAAACTGCTTCCTCACTGTCTTCAATATATAATCCACATACTGAAGTTGAACATATAGATAATCTTGCTAAATATTCGCCAAGAAAAGTGAAATTTCATTAGACTTTTGCAATTCCCTATAAAATGTCTTACTATTATAATTATTTTTAAAAGTTGTTCATGGGAGAATATGCTGTTGCTTTTTTCAAAGTGTGACAAAAAATCATTTTAGTCATAGTTTTTTAAAAATTAACTTTTATTTAAAATTTATGATGGAATCTTTTAGTGACATTAATAATATTATTCCATAATCTTGAAAATTTACAATTATAATGCCAATGTGTGACTAAATATATATAGATTTGATAAAAAAATTGAGATAAAGCTTTCTTAAATACAAATATAGCTAGAGATTAAAAAAAAAAAAAACTAATCATTCATGTTTTGATAAAATCATTTAAAATAAAATCTTTGGTCATACAAAAAGTCATACACTCTTAAATTGTCAATAAATGTTTCTATAATTTTAATGTGCATGTAAAAGTTTTATATATATCTGTAACAACATGTAAGGAATTACTATTTCATAATATGCTTAAGAAAAAGTATGATTAATTAGAACTTCAAATTGAAATAAAAACAGTAAAAGAGGCTCGTTTTGAGGAGAAATTATTATGTGCAGAGGTCGATTACAGCTTTACGTTTGGAGGCGAATAAGGTGCAGTCACATCAGTGGTACCGAGCCGCTGTACTGAGCCGCGATACAGAACAAAGAGATAGGTGACGTGGTGCATTTTGGTCGATATCCGGACGGCGTTCAATGTCCGCACATAATAATTTATCCATTTTGAGACAGTGAACTACTTCCATTCATCATATAATAATTTACAAGTTTTAAAGGGTAACAGGAAAAACAAGTTACAATGCGTTTCTCTAGCTAGCTGTCTTCTCTGCGGTGCCTTAAGTTTTAACTTTCAAACGGCCGGGGAAGGCAGGTTGCCATTAAAGACCATTGACATTTAAACTATAAATTAAATTATTTGCTCTTTAGTCATGTATACAAGTTTCTTATGTAAAGAGAAGACCCGGTCCTCTCTTTCGCATATATTAAGCATACTGTATAAACGATTAAAAAACAGTAGAAAATACACGCCATTAACTGAAAAGAGTTATAAATTATAAGAGATTAGCTATTCGTAGTTGGCTTCTTAATTAAGCTTAGCGCAGTACTTAACTGATATATTATGTGTATGATCTTAACATAAAATTTTATATATTACACAATGTTATAGGCCACATTGAAAAGAACTCGTAATTTTAAATTGCAATAAGCGCGTTGCCAGCAAAGCTGTAGCAGTCGTCGGCAGATTATGAAATTAGAAGGGTCCCCGTACAGCTGCATAAACTGAACCGTGGGCATGGATCAAAAATGGATTTTTGTCATTTAGGGTTCTGTATTTAATATTATGATGTTTATTCTACAACGTTAGCTAGCTGGCCACCGTATGCTTTCTGGGACGCAGAAGCATGGAGGAATTTTTATAAGGTAGATATGCGTCAGGATTGGCATGAAAACATTAATGTGATTTTCTGATGGAGAGCTCAGAGCATGGAGAAATTAATATGTGCGGAGACCGGACGAAGAACGCAGTTCGGAAATCAATCAGAATGTGTCACGTCAGCGGTACCGAGTCTTGTTTCCGAGCGGTACTGAGCCGCGATATCGAGCACAGGGTGATGTGGCGCATTCTAGTTGGTCTCCGCATGACATTTGACGCTTGCACAGAATAATTAAGCTCTGAAAATTTTTTATATTTTCTGAATAAAAAATTAAAAATAATGAATTTATTTATAATTGTTTATAAATGGAAATTTGAATTATAATTTTTTGAGGAATTTTGTGATTGTTTTAAAATCTTTAATTAAAGTTATTATTATTTTCTAATACATCCAATTAAATTTATCACTTTTTGAGAATATATTTTTATAAATATGGTAAGTCATGAGGCTGAGATGAAAATGAAAACTTTTAATTATAATTGTTTATTAAATGGGAGCTAGCTAGTTTGTATATTGTAAGGAATTATTAGAAAAAAACTGGGTTATTCTCTTACCTAATTTTGAACAAATGGGCTTAAAAATTAAATAACTTCTCTATTTAATTTCAATGATAAAAATTTATGCGTATTTGATTTATTTATAAATAAAAAAAATGAAAATATTAATATAAAATATATGATTGAGTACATTTTATGTAATGCAATAAACTAAATATCAGTAAATATTATCATATTTAGCTTATTATTTATATAAATATTAACATATATAAAAATTATAAAACAAAAAAAAAGCTATTATTTTTTAATATTATTGAATTGATTGAAATATATTGTTTCAAAAATTCAACATCATTTAATTATAATTCAATACATCAAATTTGTCAAAAAAAGGACAATAACACATTTTTTATTTGTTTCAAGGACAATAATCACATGATAAGCTAACTTGGATTCGTTTTGTAGACTATTAAATAAATTTTAATTCAACCCATAAAGCTCTTGATGATACTTATTATCCCTTTAATAATTATTTACTTTTAAATAGGCTCCGATAAGAACCTAATTAGCACAACTAATGCTACAATTTTAGTCAAACCGGATCCTGTAAAGGGGCAATGTGGTCTATAAAACCAATTAGATCCAATCCAGCTCGGTGCCGCCTGGAGTCACGTGCGCGCCACCAACGCATTGGCTTGCGTGGAACCGACAATCACCGTCAACGTTGAATTGCCCCTCTCTCTCTCTCTCTCTCTCTCACTGCCAAAAAGTCAAATTTAATTTGTTATTTATCTAAGAAATGTTTTCCATGTGGCCGTCGAATTATGGAACCCACGGAACGATCAGTTCGAGGCAAGTCAACCGTTTTTGTCAAAGTCAAATTACTTTTTATAATCCTTACCACATGCTTGAATAGAGTTATCAAAATTGGGTCATAGGCTGGGTTCTGATCCAACTCAAATTTAACCTTATACTAGTTGACCAAATCTAAAGCGAATTCGTTTTTGCATACGGGTCAATTTTTTCAACTCGGACCTGACTCACGCGGGTTACGTTGCAAGGTTAACTCGATCCAACCCATTAGCGGGCAGACCGATCGGTGAGTTTACGGCGAACTGGGTGAGGCGAGTCAGTGGCGACGGAGGACACTCAACAAAACGGCGGGCTTGAGGGACGGGACGACGATGCGGGCAGATGACGCGATGTGGACAGAAGCACTTGACGCAACGGCGGGAAGACTCAGTCAGGGTGGATGCAATGGCGGGTAGGCCGATCAGCGAATTTTTCAGGGTTAACACGCGTTGAGTTCGGGTTCTCGAGTCAACTGAACCCGACCCTTTTTTACAAATGGGTCAAATCGGGGAACCCAACCCCAACCGGTTTGCGAAATGGGTTGATCATAACCCGAAACTTTTTGATTAATTTCGAGTTGAATTTTTTGATCGTGTCAAATATTAATTGACACCCCTGTGCTTAAGGGTTGAGACCTGATAGAGGATAATAAACAATTAAGTGAAGCTTAATCACGTTGTTAAAATATACTTAATTAAGTACTCATATTTATTCAATACAATATTTAAATTATGACTAAGAATATTCAAGTCACACGCTCCTATTATACATGCTCGTGTCTATTCGTGTCAAATAAATAATACTTAAAGAGTACAGAATGAGTATTCAAATAATATGCTTCATTTTTCAACAATTGATATTTAAAAATTAAAACAGTTAAGAACATAAATGCGCTCTCATAATTTTAATTCAACTAAGTATCATTACCGGCAAACAAAGAAGAAACCAAAGAGGGGCAATTGAATATGAAAGGAATGAACTATTTAAAGCTATAGAAACTTAAATAATATTAAAATGTCTAAATTATTAATTAACTTAGATGAAATATATATTTCATATATATAGATGCACAAATGATATATAAATAAATTATAAAAATTTAGATTTTAAACAAGTAATAAATAAAAAATTTATGATATATATTCAGGGGGGGGCCTAAATTAAACACTACAGGAAAATCACCTATTACAGGTAGAATTTTTCAGCGGTCAATTTTTCCGCAGTTTTCAGACAACCAATTTTTCATGGTCAATTTTCTAACGGTCTGCCATCTCATATGAAATTTTAGATTAATAAATTAATATAGTTTCATTTGTCGTCTCATTACTAGAGGCAAGAGGAGCTGTAAGATCAAAATTAAGAATGCAAATAACATAACGAAAAAGGACCGAAATGGAAAACAAAAACCATGCTCGAGGTAGTGAGTTGCGAGAGAGGAGCAAAGGGGAAAACGAAACAGGCAGTTTGGGTCGAGGAAAAAAAAAGCCATTTTTGAGCGGTCTCCGTTTGGGCATGTGATTTGATATTGTTGCCAGAGTAAACATTTTTATAAGAAAGTTATTGTGAAAATTGTTATTATTATTATTCCGAACAAAACCTAAAGCATATTCTTGCATGCTAAATTAGAGAATTTTTAAGTCTTATTTTTTATAAAAAGAATGTTAATTTTTTTATGTAAACTGATCATCCACACTTAAATTTGCTTTAAAATGAGTACAAAACATAAAAAAAAAAAATTCAATTAAAATGTATATACTAAATGTAGTAAAAATGGTGACTAAATAATTATGCCTCAATCTCTTACTTTTCTTATAAAAAAAGTTATCTATGCGACTAGTTTTCACATTGTACAACATAATGGTGCACTTGATCTTATTTTTGAAGCCATAAAAAATATTTAGATGCGTGGAGAATGTTCATTTTCTTCCTAAGAGATGAGAAGTTTATCCAATATATCAAAGCTATTTCAGGTTTCAAATTGTGAGATGGAATATTTAATGAGAGATTGAATAATCTCTTGCAAATGTTTGGGAGAGATTATCGCGTTCGCGTCTATCACTAATTCCATGTAAATAAATATCTGTCGACATATAATATTTATCCGTATATATAAATGCATGCAAAATTTTCTCTTTGTGATGGCAATATTTGGCTTCTTCCTATCCTATTTCTATAGAGGTTGGGCAGTCTAAGACTCACTCACAGCTACTTGCAAAGACAAGTTGGGGAGTAGCAGTTGACTTGTTGTTCAATCTTATCAGGCGGCTAAAGACAAGGGACCATGAAGAAATTGGAGCCTTAATGGCCTTGGCTGCTTTCACCCAGGTTATCTAGCTACAGCTTGTTAGAATTTCAAATGAAGTTGCTATCGACTAAGATTAAGAGTCAAATAATAGCTTCTCATTCTGAGGTCGGCAATAAATTTTATTAAGCTGAAAATTTTGAAATATATATAGTCAGGAGGAACTAATAAATCCAAAATATACAGCAAACAGAGTTGAAATGGGATTTAAGCAAGCCAGTGGCGGATCCCTCCCCCTGCAGGGAATTTTTATTAGGTCCGGACACCTGATGTAGTTCTACATCCGATCTACATCCGAACGCCAATAAAATATCGTCACGTGCTCTTATTCTTTACCGCGCGGCCCGAGGACCCGACCCAAATCGAAACCCAATATTGCTATGTATTAGCTGATTTGTACAAACTAGGGTATTGCTAGGTTCTGCTTGGTAACGAGAAATACCATTTTATCAAGACCAATACCTAGCAATTCCGAGCAATACCCCGGTTTTGCTCGGTATTGCTAGGTATTGCTCTGTATTGCTCGGTATTGGTCATGACAGAGCGGTATTTCTCGTTATTGTCAAGCAATACACGAACATAGCAATACCGGGTTTTCGTTCCGGGTTGGGTCGTCGGGCCGCGCAGTAAAGAGTAAGAGCACGTGGCGACATTTTATTGGCGTCCGGATGTAGAGCTACATCAGGTGTCCGGACCTAATAAAAATTCCCCTGCAGGGGCATTGCCTCTTTATCCCGCGATCTGACTGGGCAGGTCGAACTCCGCCAGGGGACGCTGCCCCCTTAGACCCCCAATCGTAAGTCACCTTAGTCAACTAGTTGGGAGCTTTGGCTATCAACCAAGATATCTTAAATTAGAGTCATGAGTATGTGATGTGCGTGTGAGTCTAACTTAATTGACATCAAAAAAAGGATGTGGAGATTTGCCAGTATTTATTTTAGATCTTGCATAAATTCCAGATAAATTGCAGGGATCTAAGGAAAGGAGTCGATGTCAGGAAACTGTATCAGAATATTATATTTTTATAATATATGCATGCAGGAAACGCATGACTAAGCTAGCAACATAATTTTTTTTTTTTTTTTTTTTTTTTTTCCCGTTTTTTTTTTTTCATTTTCCAGTTTCTCAGTGAAGATGCATGTGCCATTATTGGATATATTTGAATAGTTGCAGCTAGGAATCTATCCAATTAAAATATAATTTAATTTTTGTTATAATTCAGTTTTATTTGATTGGCTCTATAAAACTAGAAAGCCCTAAAAAAGCTGATTGCATGTTTAACCAAGGGATTCTATGTTTGATTTACTAAAAAAATAACACATAAAAATGAGTTAAGTATCAAAATTTTGCAATGTATTTAAAGTATTTGGAGTTATTTGAATCAATTATTATATTTTTTAGTGTTTTGTTAAAGTAAAATGAATATAATGTAAAGCATAACAAGAGTGATGGATGGAGGTGGCGAGCAGCGGTGGGTTGCCTGTGGCAAAGTGTGATGGCAATGGCGTGATGATAATGCCGCAATGGCGGCGAGTTGAGAGGAAATACTGAATATTGATCACTGTTGAATCTAATTTTTTTTCCTGCGTAATAGATAGATCTCAGGAGAGAAGCTCTCTGTTTTCTTTCTGTCAGAAACTACAATAAGCTGTCATAAACTTGTTTTCCAACTCCCAATTTATAAATAAAAGTAGAAGCATTGCTTCATTAAAAATATTCTATTAAAATTGCATATATTATAAAATCCAATTTAATAGAAACTTAACAAAAAATGAAGATACACCAAATCATATAAATTTGTCTCATATTTGTACAATTTGTCGTATTCTTTACAGTTTTATGTGAAATAAACAGAGCACAAAACTGTCAGATTCATTGCTTAGGGAGATTGATTGATGAGATCCATTTACATAGTGATTTTGTTCTTTCAGGTTCTGTGCACTTTGGCTCTGTTTATTTTGGGGAGAGATTATTATCTTGATATGATAGAGAATCATTTGATTTTGTGATTGTGAATAGTAAACACGCATTTTATTGTTAAGGTTCTGTGCACTATACTTTTACTATTCATCGCTGTGTTTTTACTATTTATAGACACAAAACCGAATGGTCCTTTGCATTCGGACTCCGCACATAATATTCTCTCTTGATTTGATGAACGGAACTAGGCATTAAAGAGCAAGATTTTAAGCTCCTTTTCATCCAACTCTTATCATAAAATAATAATAACAAGAGTAACAAAAATAGCAGCAACATTAATAATAATAATAATAATAATAATAATAGAATTTCATATCAACTCGAGCTTGAGCTCAAATTTAAATCAAATAGCTGAAGCACTAACAACAATTCAAACCGTCGGAAAAGTCACTGACACCATTCTTCACAAAGGAACACCACTAGCGGCAAAAAAATGTCAGAAAGAAGAAAATAGAAGAATAAGACTTCATTTGGGATGACATTTTTAAGCTTCTTAAAATAGCTTTTTTATATAAAAATTTTAATTTTTGTACTAAAAAGCTACTTTAAGAAGCAGTAAAAAAACCGTCCTAAACAAAACCTAAATCTAAACACTATCAAAAAAAAATTTTTTCAAGAAGAATGCATCCATATCAAATATTCTATATTGCAAATTTAGTGCAGGAATTCATTGCCTATGGTATCATGCAACACTGGATTGGAGGGAAAATGATTCTGCCCTTCTGAAAGCCATATTGACGGTCTCAATCTCTACAGGTCTTTATGCTATAAGGCCATTAGTAGCAGTAGAAGGTGCAACACCGTTTGGCATCTCCTCAAGCACTTGGAAATATGCATGAGGTCCCCAACCTGCAAGCGAAAAGTTTATAATTAAACATTTCAGAGAACTCACAAAACAAAAGTTATAGAAAGTAGAGTGATGGCAGGCTTAAGCTTTTACAGGGATGATGCCGTTTGGTTGGTGAAAAAGATGAGGTGCTGTAAGCTTAAAGATAAGCAGAGAAAATTATTTGATTGCATTTTAACATAGGTTGTAATTGGGACGGCTTTCTTACTGTTTTCTAAAGCAGCTTTTAAGTACAAAATATTTTAGAACTAGAAATTTTTGTACTAAAAAACTACTTTAAGAATAGTAAAAAAGCCGTCCCAAACAAAACCTTAATCTCATTTCCATAGCTCATCATGAAGGTCTAATATATGGTATAAATATAAATTGATTTGTTATTCGAACTTAGTTATAATTATAAATTTAATAATGACTGAATTTACTTGAGGAATTATAGATTTACTTCTTAATTAAGAAATAAGTATAATTGCTTTGAAAAGAGAAAACTTAATTACTTTGAAAGGATAAGCTATTGAAAAGCTAAGCTTGACTATTTTGAAAAGATAAACTTATAATATAAAGCTAAGTTTGATAGGATTATAAACTTAATGATGATTAATTTATATTAATTTACTTTAACTTAGATTTTCTTACATATCATGAGATAAGCTTAAACTCGGCATCCGCCAACCTTACTTTTTTCATTGTTTGGTTGTGCTTAGGAGCTGAAATCGACTTAAGTATGACTTGAGCACTAAAAAAATCCAAAGAAAGGGGACAAGCATGCCAAACATCATTTTATTTAATATCATAGTACACTTAAATGATCACTCAGATTTCTATTTATAATAAAGGATCCTACAAAATGCTACCAATAATTAAATTTATACTAACAGACAAATGCCATATTATTCTTAACATTTAAAGCAAATATTAAATAAAGACTAATAAAATTGGTATATCATAAAAAATTATCTTGATCGGGCACGAATCTTGAGGCAAATTTAAGTTGGAAAATTCCGAAATTAAATCCAGGACCATCCAAACTCTGATTTTAGTAAACTTATTGTCGAACTGAACGTCTCGAAAAGATGAACCCAATAACATTGAATCCGACCTAATTCGCGCCCAAATGAGTCCAAATCGAAGATTTGAAGTGTATTTGAAAGGTTCGATAGATAAACTGGAAGACCAAACGATTTTCAAATGTGGCATACTTATAGTAGAAACGTGCAGCTCGACGAGACGAATCCAACAAGCCCAAGATTGCTGAATTCTAATATCATTAAGACACTCAAATAATCGATAAATAATCAACGATCAAGTGAGTTGATATCGGCCATCCATTCAAAACACTCCAAATATGCTCTTGACCTCCTCCCTATTTACTAGCCATGCCATTCCTTGACAATTATAAATATACATCTCATTCTTTACTAATGGGGGACTAAGCAAGGAAGAGAGGAAAAGAAGATAAATCAGAGTTCTCTTACCACCAGACTTCTCCTCGACCACCGCCAGACCACCGATCGTCGCCGGACTCCTACTCGGCCATCCACCGTCGCCGGACTTCTACTCGACCACCACCTGTTGTCAGACTTCCGCCCGGCCACCGACCATCACCGGAGTTCCGTCCGATCTCTGTTTGTCGCTAGATTTCAATCGGACGGATGGCTATTGTAATATAATCATCCTCAAGTTTAAGGGCGAATAAATCATTTTTAATCTATTCAAACACTAGTGAGATCATTTCAACTGGGCGTGACCCCATGGTCTTTTCCTTCAGGGTTTTCACGAAAAAAAATTATTGTATTTCTGCTTTCTCTGTTTGTGAGCTGGATACTTGTGTAACGCTAAGACACCAAATTTAATACTTTACCGCCGCGAATAATCTAGCCCGCTATAAAAATAAATATAATAATAATTCAACCAAACTACTATCACAGCAAAAAATCTTGCTCGCTAACATCCAAAAATTCTCATATACCTACCAATTGAAATTTAAAATTTTGTATCATCTTCAAGCCACATCTTATACACGCACAATAAATTTCTTATTCAAAATTTAAATCCTGATGCACCAGTCGTCTAACTTTTTAATGAACCTTATATATCTTACCCAATTCAATTCATTTTGTAAAAATAATGCTATTTTTTAACTTAACTAGAATAGCCAAACCCAATGATAAGCCTCAATTTAAATATTAAAAAAAAAAACTTCAATAAACCAATATTTCAATCAGGTTAGATTAGTGCAGTAATGTGCATAAAGACCTTCAAAGTTGAAACATCTTTAAACATATGTGTTAGTGTTCCTTAGGATCCACGATAAAAATTTTGTGCATATATTATTAATTGTGATGATATTCTTTCCCTTTCTCCTTCGGGAGAATTTTTTAATTGTCAAATTTTCTTCGTGATTTGATTTTTCATGAATCTTTAATTTTCATAGATCTACAGCTAATTTTTATTCTAACAATATTTTTAACTCTTCAAAGTAGAGTTCTTAGCAATCCAAGGAAATTGCAACAGTGTGAGATGCTAAATTCCAATTTTTACCATTTAGCTTTAATTATATCAAAATAATCATGCAGTTTAGTGACTTATTTTATAATGTTTGTTCTTTTTAATACTTGTTCAATTATGAAGTGTGAAATGATCATTAATCATTTTAGATATCCTTGCTATTATTTAAATTTTAGTAGGTTAGAAAGTCCATGAATTTTACGGCCTTAGGTTGTAACTCAATTGGATGATAATGGTATACGAAAATAGTTTTCCTTAGCATTCTCTTCAGGGATTGATTCTTCCTTGCACCTAAGCCCTAACCATAGATTTTCTTCATGCTTTCCTTCTCTCTATCAGGCACCACTCCTTTGAGACATTCATTGTATACTAGTTGTATTTATAATCAAGCTCAAATTTTATCCCACGCCTAGAAGGAATGTTATTGATTTTTTGCATATCTTCCATCAAAAGGCACTGGAACTACAAACAAATGAATAGTTTTGAAGATCTTTATTCACTAAATCTTATCACCTGCTTAGCTTTTTGACAGGAAACACTCCACCACAATAGTGAAAACTGCTGTTTCCAGATAAAAAACAGCAATAACCGAGCAGAAAATTTGAGAAAAATCAGTAGAAACAGTGGAAAATCTGAGGGAAAATACTTGAAAAACAGCAAGATACAATTGATCCTCTATTCGAGAGGAGAGGAGGATCTATCTCTCCCAAATCTCTAGACGCCGCTAGAGCCCAAAAGAAACCTAAACCTAAGAGATCCCAAATTCAAGATGCCCTAACCCTAGGAAAACAAACTATTTAATGCATACAATTAAGAAGGAAATACTTAAACAGTCCCTACATTCAATTTCTCTCCTAAACTTTCTCAAAAATCATTCCTAAAAAGTTCTGTGGAGATTTGCGATCCGCTCGGTCTACGCGGGAGAGGCGGAACTTCCGCCTCTGTTCGCCTGGGCCGGTCCCGTGTGGACCGGCAGGACCGGTCTAACACGTTTTTGAGAAATAATTTTGGTTTGTATAAGAAATATGCTAACTAGAGGATCCCAACTTTGCACTGCTTCTTCTCTAACTTTATAAGAAGACTGACTTATCAAGTTGGCTGTGGGTTTATGTGAAGCCTATACTTGTATCCCAATATCCACTCGCAATAGCTGTCTGTTTTCTCAACTATTTTTTAAATCAAAATTTTGATTCTTACTCCGATTTAGAGCTATAACTAGATTACTCCGAAAAACTTTATCATAATCCAAATGTAAGTAAAGAACTTCAAGCCATCAACAATGTCTCACTTATTCTATGTAGCATTAATAATAGGCGTGGAAGAAAACTTTAAGCATACCATTTACATGGTAAGGGGGAGGGAAGAACTGCAAATAGCAAACTGAAGAAACCACCAATCCTGAGAAAACAACCAAAATATAATTAAGGCAACGAACTGCAACCAGTAGAGAAAATAACAAAAAAAAATCATTTAATGAGAAAAGAAAGGCATATATAAATATAATGCAAACCTAAAATTCCTCCTGCAAATACATCTTGCCAGTGATGCCAATAGTCATCCACTCTAGAAATTGCTATAAGTGACGCACAAAGGAGAGGAAGCAGCACGATGCAAAGTTTAGCAACATGGCCCCTCCGATTGAAGGCTCTAAATTTCCCAGCTAGATACCAGGCAAGAAAGCCTAAACCAGCAAAAGACCCTGCATTTTAGAGGATAACATCTAAAGTTATTAGAATTTAGAAGGAATAATCTCACAAAAAAATGGGTGAAGATTTGTCAGAAGAATGATCAAATAGATTTCTTGTCCAAAGCCAATCTTAGCTTAAAGAAGCATTTACATTCTGAAGGGAGGATTATAGGACTTCTTGGGATCAAAGGCATGACAACTAATCTCTGAATAAAAAAAAGGAGTTGACAGAACTAAAAAGAGTTGATTTAAGAGTAATCTACTGGCACCTATCCACGTATGCAGTAGGGGCAAACATCTAATGAAAGCATAATTCCTATGCTGATGCTATCATAGTCTCAGATATATGTGAAAGTACTCAGCTGTAGATACAAATAGATTTGATGCAAATGATTATTAGGCTAAGATCGAAGGTAAGATGTACCATCAAGCTACCCAACGTTCAGCCAACATTTAAAAGAAAAGATAGCAATATTCAAACACTTAAAACATCTATGAGAACAAATTTAGTAACAAAATCCCTATTTTATGCCAGTCATTTCATGCAACAGTACCATATAATGCTATTTCTACGCTCTTGTATGTAAATTATTATGAAAATACCATCTTAAATTTGCTAAATACATGGCAGAGAAGGAAGAATAATTTGCAAAAACTGTGAAGAAACCGGTCTGTAAGTGATGAGGACATTGTTCAGAGATTCGGACACGTGTACCGATGACCGAATCATAGATCGACGGCTACGATTCAGCGTCTCTACTTTTGATGCATGATGTTTTATTTAGTTTTGTTGTTTTCTGAATTTACCCCTATGGGGAAGTGTTTTGTTATTGTAGCCCGGAGGGCAATTGTGTATTTTTCTTTTTTCATGTTTGAGACCTATATATAGTGGTCCTATGTGTTGTAATAGAATGATGAATGATTAAATAATTTTTTTTTAATCTTCTTCTTCTTCTTCTTGTGAGTGCACTAGAGAGAAGGGAAAGCCCAACGTGTGGGCAAGCGCAATACCCACTAGTCACCGGAAGAGTCCATGGCTCGTGGTCTTCTTCTACGTTCTCTATTCTATCTTCGTTATCACCTACCGGCTTCTCTTCATTCTTCCACCTTCATCCCGCAACCAAAATACCTCCCCTTTATCACACCTAATTCCCCTTCCAAAATCCCACCCACCGGCCTAGCCCTTGGCCACCTCAACCCGACACCAAGCCCACCTCCTCCCTCCTTGATCGCAGGCCCCATCCTTATCCCAAGTCATTATGATGATTTCAATTATCATAATTACTCCCTAAATTGGTCTTAGCAATAAAGGAAATAGTTAGAAAATTTTAAAATTCAAATTTGAAATTAAAAAACTTTACATATTTATAAAATCCTAAATAAGGAAAGTTTTCAAATTTGAATCCAATCTAAATTGAATTTAGAGAGGATTTATTATTTTCCCTCCTAGTTTGCCTTAGCTTGTTTGGAAAGTACTTAACTCCTCCACAATCCCCTCACCCCTCTCTGTTGATACCGCCGGCCCCATAAATGGGGATTTTCCACTTTGCTTCCTAATAAGGCCCCATCCCTATTTAATTTGAATTCAAATTTCAAATTAAATCCCTCCAATTTTACTTAAAATCTGAAATTAATTTAAGATTTGGATTAAAACTTCCCTCCCCTCTTCAACCTAACCTAACTCCTCTCATCTAAGCCGCCCCTCTCTTCTCACCACCTTTGGCCACCCCTCTACTTGTGCCTTCCCCCTTGAGAAACCCTAGTTTGCTCATGAAATTTGAAGCCAAGAGAAGAAGATAAACTCCTCTATCAATCTCATCGTTGGTGCATGGCCGATCCTGAGATCGGCCACGGATTTGTTTTTGACGGTCAATGACAGACGGATATTCTTGGATCCCCATTCTTTGACGTGTACTTTGGCAACGACGAGACTGTAGACGGATACATCGACTGCATCCCATACCAACTAACAATATCAATCGAGGAGCACATCCATCCGGGCCGTTGGATAATCGTCGGCCATCCACAACTTCCTCCATCGTCGGCTACCTCTCCATCAACGAAGGTCCTCGGCACCATCTTCCTAGTGGTAATCTCTTTCCTCGTATGGTTCGCCCTCCTCCGCTAAAGCCTAAGAGTGATTGAGAAGGAACTCATTGTGACTATATCTTGATGTTACGCCGCGGATTCTTGTTTATTTGCTATTAACGTTACTATCTTGTTTTCATAGTTATTGTGATTGTCTCGCTAACCTACTTGGAACTTTTGCCATCACTTAATCTCTTAATGAAAATTCTACGAATTTGGCTTGAGTGAAACATAAGTTATTAACTAGCAAAGTTCATGTTCAATATTTATTGTTAAAGCCAAAGCAACTCTTGTCGCATGTATGTTTCACATCATCTGGTATCAGAGCATGGTTGCTCTTGCATGTATTAGGTTTCAATTAGAAGTGTCCACTTGTCATTGGTAGGCCTAACTAGTTGTTCTAACATTATAACTAGATCAATTAATACATAGCATATTTATTGTCCTTTACAATTCTGCATCATTTAGTGGACTTTTGGTGAGTCTAACTTAGTGTTTAATTGCTGTCCTCACTTTAGAGACCATCCTAAACACTTAGACAACTTAATTCCCTGTTGTAGTTTGCTGTCCACACAAAAGCTGCAACATTTACTTGTGTTAGGAGCATAATACTTTAGTGTCCTAGTGCTGTCCTTTACCCCTTTACCCCCCTAGTGTTCCCCCAACACCTACCCATGGATCCAGAACAAATTCAGGCGACTTTAGACCTTATTGTTGGTCAATTAGGCTCAGTTACTCAGACACTGAACTAGTTCATCATAAGGGTAAAACCCCTGAACGGGAAGCACCCAAGACCCCTGCGGGTACTAAATGTTTTCGATGCCATGGGTGCAGGCACATTGCCTCTCAATGTTCCAGCCCGTTTAAAGTCACCATCATTGAGGAGGTCATCGAAAAAGAGGATGAACCAGACACTGAACTAGTTCATCATATTGATGACAACAAGGAGTTTTTCTGTAAGGAAGATATTGATGTGGTCCACTGTCTCTAGAAGATGGATCACTTAGACCTACAAGTCGTTAGGCGTGCTCTTTCACAACCTAAGTTGAGCGACAACTGGCGAAGAACCTCAATCTTGCACACTTTCACCAAGATAGGTGACAAGAACTACAAGGTCATCATTGATAGTGGAAGCTGTATTAATGCTGTGTCATTTGCTATGATTTCTAAGCTTCACTTAAAAGTCACACCACACCCGCGCCCCTATAAGGTCGCTTGGATCAACTCGACCGCCTTAGAAGTAAAAGACAAGAGTCTCATTCCTATTGAGTTTGTGGGATACAAGGAGAAGATATGGTGTGATGTTTTAACCATGGATGTTGGCCAGATCATCCACGGTCGTCCCTGGTTGTTTGATAACGACGTGCACATTTATGAGAGATCAAACACCTGCGTGTTTGAGCACGAGGGCAAGAAGATTAAGCTCCTGCCCACCCAACCCAAGTTTGTCGAGGAAGAGATAAAACCCACCCTCCTTAAACCCAGTACAGGCCTAAATCTGTTAACCGCCAAAGACCTAAATACTGAATTTGAATCAGGATCACCTTTATACGCCTTGGTGGCGCGGGAAGTGAGCGCCGATTTGGAGTAGCCTATCCCTGAAGAAGTAAAACCTATCCTTGAAACCTTCGTTGACGTTTTCCCGGAAAATTTGCCCAGCCAAATTTCACCGTTAAGGGACATCCAACACGTTATTGACTTAGTACCCGGGGCTTCCTTGCCCAATATATCCCATTATCGCATGAACACTGCTGAGCTCAAGAAACAAGTGGATGAGTTGTTGCAACGTGGGTTTATTAAGGAGAGCCAAGGTTTAAAATTGCGTAATTAAGCCTCGAGGCAGTTTTCGTCCGTGAAGTGAGGCATAAGCCTCGAGGCGGTCTGAGGCGTAAGCCTCACGGACACAGAATTGCGCAAATGAAAAATTAAGGGTTTTAGCAGAAAAATAATAGCAATATTGTATCTACAATAAAAACATCTAAATGATATATGAAAATAGTGGAAAGTAAGAAAATAGATGCAATAAAATCATATCCCAAAGTACGAAATCACAAAATATTAGTTCAACAAAACTCCCAAAGTACAAAAAACATATAAAATGCAATCATATCCCATCACTAAATGGGTATTCAAGTGAATCTTCTTATCCAATTGTACATATGAATGCCATGTCATCATCATCTTCAATATGACTAACTTTTCTCTTCCCTGTTCAATAAGAGAAAAGATCATTAGCATGTTAATTGCTCACTTGATATAAATATACTGCGATAGCATATAAGAAGTTTTGGAATACCTTTACTTGATTGTTGTACTGCAGAGCTAGTAGATGTGTGCGGTGTGGTACTAGTAGATGTGCCTACTTGATCTGCTTCGCCCCTCAAGACATCCACATTTAGATCTTCTAGCTGTAAGTCTGATAATGACAAATCTGTCTCATCATCTATGAACCACTCATTATCAGATGATACATCATCACACACCAACGGGTCCTCATCATCCTTCAACCCCTTATTCTAGGAATGATTTGCAATGTACAAAATTAAGAACATACCTAGTGGTTGCAGGACGAATGATTTCTTTCTTTGAAAACTTTCTCATCAAGCTTAAGACCCAAGAGTGATCGTAGATGAAAAAAAAACCTCTCAATATCCATGCAAACCTAGCGTCGACCCTCTCTAGTACCGGCCGCAGGCATCATTTGTGCTTGTCCTCTATCCTCTTCTGGATTAGTCATATACTGATCCATAGGACCCCGTGCACCTCTGTTATATATGGTGGAGGAAGAGCCCTTTCCACTCTCGCTCCCAAAATAAGCGCCATGTTCGACCCTATCATCAAATTGCGCATGTTGCAAGTGTTTAGCCATGGTACTTTTCTTCATATAAGCAATAATTTCCTCCTTCACCTTTTCCGGTACATTT